AATAGCGAGTATGACGGTACCTGTGTGACTCAGCTTCCTGATTAGTGTTTACATACCTTCATGCGAGGTCTTAGTTTGACCGCCCTTGACCTTTTACCATCCGCTGCCTGTCTCGGAAAAAAAACGCTCGTCGTGGAAACCTATTTGGTGATATGACCAACACGCCCCAACAAACGTAGTCTACGGAGGTCGACCACTTTTACCACTGAACGACCACGGTTACTTAAAACTCTGCGCTCAACCTCAACATTGCTTGTCCGGTTTCCCCACCAGACTAGTGCAACGCGAAAGCGGTGTTCGAATACCAACAATCTAATTTTATCCTGTTCCCATAATGGCCAAGTCTCTGTACCGTACAGCAGCACTGGTTGAACTGCTGCAGCATACACTCTACCCTTCACAGACAGCCGGATGTCGCGACGGCGCCACAGATGGCTTAAGTTGGCAAGTGCAAACCCAGCCTTTTGTATGCGCACCGACACTTCATCTGTGATGCGTCTACCAGATGAGATATAGCTGCCCAGATAGCAGAATTTGTCTACTTATTCTACTACTTTCCCAGTTAGAGTGAGATTGAGCGCTGGACCAACCCAATCTTGTAGCATAGGAAAATGGACTTCAGATGTAAATCAGGAAAAGTCCGTTTAGCCGGGATACAGTCCTATGTACAAAAAGAATATGACCAACGATACCTGTATTCCACTTACCTATACATGTTAATTTTTTTCAGTGATTTATTTGGTGGTACAAATGAAACAATGACGAGAAGTCCGATAACTCGGTTGCTCGTTAACCGTGTCTCTAGAGCACAGAAGCCCTATAAGCGCTTCGTGTGCATGTGTGTGGCAAGGGCCATTGAATGAGGAAAGATTAACAGGGAAAATATTCAACGTTTTCTGTCACTCTCAATTACTCTCTTGTCTCTGCCCACCACACCTCAATAAATTAAGTATCATACGTAATTCCTAATAAGTCCATTCACAGAAATTGTTTATCCCTCGCCTCCACGGTTGCTCCAAAGGCGAAAACTATACCCAGAAAAATTTCATGTCTCTTGAAGATACGGTTCCTGACTATTTTTTATCGACTCTGGCCAAACAGACTGATTCAACAACTGTACTTACCGCACTGTCCATCTCAACTTCTGTTACGATGTCTCTTGTCCATTCGAAGTAATGCATACTCACAAGGACAATACATTTCGTCACAGACACAACTGTCAAGTATACCGGCATTCTTTTCAGTGGTACCATTGATTAGTTCGGTCACTTTGGACTTGTTTGCTGGTTCTCTGCTCTCAGTAGGAAAGTGATATCTATTGGGCTCTTCTTTTGTGAGTATCTTCCCACACTGCCTCCATGCATCCGATATAAATTTTCCGGGCAAGCTGACTAGGGATTTCAAGCATACCTTTCAAGCATGTGCTTCCCTTTAACGATCTGCTTCTGGTGCACCTGATCAACCGTATTTAAAGACTTGTAAGAACCCATCCCGAGCGATTTCATGTGAGCATACACACCCTAAGACCTGAGTCAGTGTGTTTCCGCCTCCATCATCCCCCGGTTTCAAAATAAGCACCTCTGTGGTGCATCAAAGAATAATCCTTTTCCACTTTACACGTACCAAATCAAGTCAAGACTGCAATTTGAAGTCAAAGCATTTGAAAAACACCGTCCTCATCCCTGGATCTGATATAAGGACGACACCGTTGTGGTGCTGCCAGCAACAAGAATTGAACAATCCTGTGATGATCTAAAGGAGGATATGTATATAATCCCAATAATGAAGTTTATCTGGTGAAAACGATTTCTAAAATTCTAATGCAACATCCACTGAGTCATCCCTCAATACTCGCGGTTTGCTGGACATGTTAACATCAGAATAATCCAAAACACGTTTCAGCATGATCAAAGTGTCAGAATAGTTGATTCCAAATTGGGGTTTCTAAGGCCAACGTCACCACCAAAATCCTTCATTTAATAAGGCTGATATTTCAGTTTGATGATCAAATGTGGCGCAACAACAAATTGGTTTGGGCCAGAATTTAGGGCTAAGGAGATGGCTGAGGAGTCTGGTGATAGTAATGGAAAATCAAGCGTTTTGGCGAATTGATTTCGGGGTCTAAAGGGAAGGGGATTGCGCAGGCAGATTACTATAAATTCTGCTGTGGCCCAAATGACATTCCTAATACGAATAGACCGACGACTATGCAATGAAGAGAGAGAGAGAGAGAGAGAGAGAGAGAGAAGTGCCCCAATACCTTAATCACGTGATTTGACTCCATTAGGTGTGAAACAAAGAGACTGAAGAGACGAACAATTTATCTGAATATAACCGTTCAGTTAGCAATAAAACTAGTTTTTTGAAAGGAAGAAAATGCATCCAATGCATTCTACAGGATATTTCAACAATTTCCTTTTTCCGTTGACGTCTTTGGTTGGCAACAGGTCCCATGGAGCTATGCTTACAGTTTATGGTGTTTTTAAACCATGGATACGATAACCCATCATTTCCTCAAGCCTTATCTCAATTTAATTTAGTGACTGCAACCAAATTTATCAACACGAAACTCATATTAGAGACGTTCTTGAAAAATTCTACTTCTTTCTTCGTGTAATTATCTGTTTAGATTCTTTTAACTAAAACAATAGGGTCATTAATTGGGGTTACTTGTTTATGGTCCAGGAGATATTTGCTATCACTCAGTCGCTTCTGAAAAGCAATCGAAAAGCCTTACCATGAATNGAATCCCGGTCCCCCCCCCCCTTCGCCTCTTTCACCCAACTCCCCGGTTCACACCATTTCCAGCTCATGGTCCAACCATTCGTCCCGAACGTCCCATGGTTCGACCGTACAGTCGTGTGGAGTTCGAGTGTCGTTCTGATCTGCCCGGAATCCGACCGCAGGTTACTCTGGCAAATGGAACGGATCTTGAGCAA